TATTTAGGAAATCAATGCATTCACACTGTACTACACTTACATTTTCTGATAGACTCTGAAGACTGTACGACGTCGTTTAAAACTAGTCCCGACTTATTTCTCGTATAGCCATTGGTGTAACTTACTCCTGATAGGCGAATCTACGACTAATCGTATGGACAGCGCCTGATTTAATTAATTAGAGTTCTGACAGTATTAGGCTAACTATAAATATGCGCCCCCTTGACCTGTCCTGCCTGTGCCTGCCCTGGCCTAGGAATTACTAAATTTTACCAGTTTTCCACCCCGCGGAAACGGAAATTTGATTTGTGAGCCAAAGACCGTATTATATATGTAGAATATGTGAATATGTAGAGTCGCAAGAAAAGGCTTTTAGTATAGCATAGAATCCTTTTTATTTAATATAGTACTACGACCACTGCTTTGAAGAAATCCTCTGTCCTGGGAAGAAATAGCAAGAAACACAGCGGGACTTTTATTTTAAATAGAAGTAATTTACAATATATTAGGTACTTTATACAACTATGAAATACACAGATCACTGCTAATCAACTATGAACTGAGACTAATTTCGTAGGTGAGAATAATAATTTATTCGTTTCCACGAATTAAATATTCGATGAGTTTTATACAAGCAAAACAAGTACTCAAGGAGTGTAGAGGTAAGGAGCACCGTCAGTTTTAAAATGTGCATAGGACTGCGCTAAATAAGGATGGTGCCACTGTAGCTAGAGGGTAAATTTTAAAGAACTTTTTATTGCACACTTTCACCATAATTCTTTTTTATAATAATTATTTTATTTGATTAAAACTACTTTTACGGATTATCGCGTTTATTTTTACTTTTTATTTACTTTTATTTTATTCCCGACTTTCGGGCTCCAGCACCCGGGGTAGATAAATTTGTTAACCGGAACCTTCAGCTTTTTAATTATTTTTTATGGTCCGATCTATGCAAAATGAACTGACTATGTCCTGAGGTTATGTATGGCCCCCATACATCATTGAACCACAAACCTCGCGAAAGAACACATTCCTACCATGGATGATACGTAGCTATTAAAAAACTCCAAATTTCAATAGAGAAGGAGGCTGGTATACCACCTGCTTGATCTATAATCAATAAAACTAAACCCACATACCACTGCAACCTCAGGACATAGTCATCATTTTGCATAGATCGGACCATAAACAATAATTAAAAAAGCTGAAGGTACTCCGGGTTTAACAATGACATCGGGACGTCAGTCATCTCAGTCCCCCGTGACCATGTGTGCTGGAAAGCGCCCGAAACGTCGGGAATCGAAAATAAAAGTAAATAAAAAGTAAAAATAAACGCGATAAAATCCGTAAAAGTAGTTTTAATCATGTATAGTGTTCGCGTAAATATAAGAAATCATTAATTATTTTATTGTTTTCAAACTTTATTTTTAATATCACTCAACGTGTTTCACGGCGACTTTTTCAAGATTATATTTACTAAATTATTTTAGACTACCTATGTGAGTAGTTGAAGTTTTAAATACTGCAGTTTCATCAACTATTCTAGTCACCACAAATATTAAATTCCTCAACTCAGCACACTTCACTCCGTCGACAACTGCTAAGTTCATTTTATGCCCTGCTACTCGAGATCTGTTGTGTCTGTCAGTGTCAATGAGAGTTTTTGAACTGTTATTTACTCCTTACAGATGGAAACTTTTTCAACTATTCTCGTATGTGAGATGGTTCTCCTTATTCTCTACACTCCATGCAAGTAGCCGCACGGGCGCCATTGCAAGTGCAACGCGCAGCTGTGCGGAGTGCGTATTGTTAACAAGAGTTCTGGCTAGCTACAAATACTACACCGCACGTGCTACGGTCCAGTCGCCGTTAGTGTGTATAATATATACAAAAACACCACAACCACTCTATTTTCGTCGTTATATCCGGAAGTCAGTCAGTTACAGGCAAAGGTAAAGATATACAGACACGTACACATGTATATAGTTTATATTCATTTATTATTGAAAATATTGGCACACATAGTTATTCATGGGTACATTTCAAAATGCTACTCAGAATATCACTTTGTAACTGAACCATAAATTTAACTCCGGAACTTACACGCTTCCATACCTACTTAGCTGATATCTATAAACAAAAGGTAAAGGTCTCCACACTTGCTGACCATCTGTGTAGATGTAAACAAAAGATAAGAAATGTTTGTGAAAAAAAAATCTTTTTGTCTTTGGTAGTCGACTCAGGTCGCAATATCTGCATGGGATTTCTAAGAATTTGTTACAAATTTTTTATCAAAAACAGTCGCTATATCCCAACTCGGCGTTACATCCAAAGTCGCTATAGCCGCATGAATTTTGTACTAAAGTATGCTTTAAATTCAAGGGACTTAGATTTATCGTCGCTATAGGTAAATGGTCGCTACAACCAAGGTCGTAATAAATGAAATCCACTGTGTGTGTATATTGATATATATATATATATATATATATATAATTTTTCTTTCTTCTCAGCCTTGTAATGGCTCAGCTGCTTTAAAACAGAACTTTCGAGGTATTGTCGCATCGGTTACATGAAAAAATTTTGTTTTCAGTCTTTGAGAGTCTATGCGAGTCGCTCTGAGTCTAATATATAATACACATAAAGCTGATCGTGTCATGTAATTTATATATCACAGTCATACATCATTTTAGAAAAAGTAAAATAAAATTACTTACTGTTTTCTATCAAATAAAGCCTCTTTGTGTAGCGCAGAATAAAAATAACTAGTATTTAATGGTTCTAATTAATACGAGTACTTCAAAAATGTATTTAAAAAATGTTTTATTTCTCAAGATACGTAATATGATAATATCAACGTCATAGCAAGTTATATATATATATATATATATATATATATATATATATATATATATATATTAAAATAGTTAAGGGATAAAAAATAAAATTGTACCTTTAAAAACGCGCTATAAACAGTTCGCTCGTTGTTTTCGAAGTGTCGAGAAAACAGAACTTAATGCCAACCGCTACTATATATATATATATATATATCATTATTATCATTATAGTTAACTATCGATTGTTTCATCTCGGCAATTGATTTCCTATTTAAAAAGTTTTAAATTTCAAGTGTTAAGTTACTTTAGATAGAGCGAGAGCATTGTAAAAATATCGCTTGTGTCGTATCACTAAATAGATATTAATAATGGATTTGACATTTGGTGCTAATAAATCGAGAAGTTTCCTTGAAGACGGTAGAAGCGATCTCAATATTGTAACCGAAATTCGATCAGGAGGACATTGTAATATCGAACATCGACGATTAAGCAAGGAAAATTGAATATTGTCGATTTTATTCAGTTCTTGAGTCGAATATTCCGTATTTTACATTTCAGAGATTAGCAGCAAAAAAAACATAAACCATAAAGAACCATAGCAACCATACCTACTGCCTATAGTTTTTTTCTGATTAACAAAATGGCCCAGACTATTTTAAATTATAGCTTTTGAGTAATACTTATTTACATAATTGCATTTGACATTGAAGTAATTTTTGGAAAGTCACCGCAAATAAATCACAAAACCCATATTAAATTTTATGTAATGTCATTGCGGAGCGGAAAAGAAAAGTACCCTGAAATTAAAATATTTATTTATTTCCGTCACCCTGACAAACAAAACAATATGTAATGTATTATTGTCGATATATTAAAACGGCTTCGTTATTCTATATATAAGCCTGTAAATACTGAAGTTTTGTTCTTATAATATCATGACATAAGTTTTTGCTGTACCACGATGAAGATTTTCAAACAACAAGTCTATGTGTATATTTTTAAATAAGATTTAGTATGTAAGTTGTGGTACTTGGGTGCTCGGAGATGTTTTTTGTTATTGCATGTTTCTGGCACATGTGCGTACTTACATTATCTGTCACATATCACAATTACGCCTGATTTACATAATTGAACACTTGTACATAAATCGATGCTGTTAATAGTCGTGGGTAATTATTGTAATAACAATTCATCTCCTTAGTCGATTGTGTTTTGAAAGATTATTCTGAAGCATTTCTTTTATGTGCGTTTAAATAAAGTATGTAGTGCCTTAATTTAATGAAATTGTATTTTTATTTATAGTAATCAAATCTCACTTTTAATCGTTAACTCATATATTTGTGTCATTTAACATATATTATATTAATTAACGTTTCTGACCAAGAGACGGCACCCATGTCTGTATATTGTGATATAATTTAAGTTTTTTCTTTTTTTTTGTTTTTGCTCAAAATTATTTTCCCTTTAGATCTCTGTACTTATTATTCATGAAATTTGTAAGACTGTATTTAATTTTGTTATGTATGATTGTTAACTCCAGGTTATAAATATAGTTATTTTGAGATCCGTTTTGTTTGCCTTTATACTTACCTTAAATTAATTAAATAAAACAACATGTAGATAAAATAAATAATTTATTTCAAATTGATTGAATCTCATACTCGTGTAACGACCAGAGCTCGGGTCGACATGACTAGACTGTACACTCAACATTTTCTTATGTATACATAAATAAATATATTTATCTCTGTACAAACAGAAAGGTCAACACTTAGTAATAAAAGTTACTTGTCTACTTAATATAAATAATATCACTAATACTCGAGTATTAGAATAATTAAAATCCATCGAAATCCACAATACACACTGGTCAGGAGTAGTATCCTACATTAATTATGTTAGTCTTTATTTGATTTTAAGTCAATACATTTTATAAGTACGCGGCGCCGTCTAACCGAAAACGAATTGCAATAATCGCTATATTATATGTATCAGTTAATGTAATGGTAATCCTCTACGACACGGTATTGATAATCTACCTACTTTGACTTAGCCGCATAAGCATTTTCTCCTTTGATACCTACATTAACTGTTTCATATATATATGTACGTGTTAACAAAAATTAGGGGGAGAGTGGTGAAGACTGCAAATGCAACTTCACGCTAAAACTCTGTATCGCCGAGCACGTTGTACATGAGGCGCTTGAATGAGTTCGACTGCTGGATGTGCTCCTCGTGTAATGAGTTCACCTGAAACAGAATCATTATTTAAACATATAAAAGGTCTGTAATTCGAAAATTTCCTTAAAAATAAAGTTAAGCCAGAGTTATGCCATGAAATATAGAATGTAGTGACATATATGATGGCGAGATAATATGGGACTTAATCGACTATATAAAGTTAAAAATAACTGTTTCGGTTTACTAAGCATTGGTGCCGCTATATTTGTAAATTACACTATGGTGGTTCTTACGAAGTTTAGGGAGGCCAAGTTAAAACGGTCGTTATTTAACCATTGTGAATAATACTTTGAAACTACACCGACTATCTGTCATAATTCAAATAGCAAATGGCGACATAATATTATATCAGAAATGTGAAAGCAAAATGGTTTCCAAAATTTAAAAAAAATACCGCTGTTGCCATCCCGTCTGTCGCTGGATTTTTTTTATTAACACCCTATTGCCAAAGTAAAGAATAGAAAAATTATACCCTAAACGTAGAAGATCTGCTTACGCTTGGCATTATGGGCAATGATACGCGCGCCCTCTATTTTTTATATTATAGTTCATGCATACTGTAAGGATATACTTACGAAGGTCGTTTGCTTTCCTTTGGAGTTCACCTCGTGTTGCTTCGTTGCTTTCGGAGTAGGTGTCGACCTCTGTTAACCGGGAAGTTATGTCAAATATATAGAACCACCGGAAATGTGTAATTCTACGAATAGTATTTGAGGTGTCGCTGCATTTTTCTTTATTAATATTCTAGCTGTTATATGTATCTAAGCGCTCACCGTATATAGGATGCAAACAATCCAGGTTCGACGCCCGCCGGTTACAATGAAATTATTAATTGTAATTTTAAGTACTGTCTACAATGTACTTGATTGAGAAGGAAAACATAAGCGTGGAAATGGAAACCCACATTTCTGCGACTTACACTATTTCAAGAACACGCATGATTGCTTTAGTGGCGCTAGTTTTCATAATATGGAAAACAATGTTCAGTTCAATGACAGTCGGCGTGCTCGTTTTGAGACGAGCACATTTGTACGTGGTAGGGGAAGTCGAGCAAAGTAAATAGACCCCATGATTCCCAAACTATTCGTTTGGCATCAACCACGCGGCCATAGCAAAGTTCCGCTACATTATCTCAGTGTTAGGCAAAGTCGCACGGCATCCGCTGAATGGTGAATTGTGATAACGAAAAATAATTTTTATCGACCACGTCCAGATGGCTGCAGACTCCGTGCTACAACAGGTCCCACCCGCAGAGATTGTGATACTTGGTGATTTTGACGACCACCACGCTGAATGGCTTGGTACTCGTTTAACCGATCATGCGGGTAGATTTGTTTAGGACTGCTTTGGCATTTGGTCTGACACAACAAACCTGTTACCACCTCGCCTACGCGGATCCCAGGTGTGGAAGGTCATGTCCCACTCACGCTCCCATCGCGCTTGCGTTCTGCAGGTTGCCGCCGTGTTTGGCATTATAGGTCAGTCGATTGGGACGGGATGCCATATTGTTTTGCATCCTACCCTTGGAGGCGGGTTTGGTTTGCTCGCCGGATACTCCCAGCGTTATTGCTGATTCTGTCGCTGATGTGGTGTTACAGGGAATGGAAGTTTTTATTCCATCACCTGTGGTAGCTATCGGAGGCAGAACCCAGCTACGGTTTGGTCGCTCATTCAAAATTGCATTACGTCATAAGCAAGAAAGCTACCAGGCCTGGGCCCGCGCATCGACGTCTCGGGATGCAAACAGCGCTCTTAAAATCATAATTCTGCCTCCAGGTCCATCAAAAGTGTCATTGTCAAGGCACAGTCAGAGCACATCGGCAGAATTGGCGAGAAATTAGTTCGTTTTCCTTTGGGAACATGTGCATTCTAGTCTTCTTGCCAAGACTGTCTTAAGGGAACTTCTGTCAGCAATCTCTCTTCTCTGCACAGCGAGAAAGAATTACTAGCCCATGCCGCAAGTCAATCTGCTGGACTCTCGACTCTTGATGACGGGACGAACACACCGCCGACCATCCCGCGGTGTGAGTGCTCCATGCAGGATGTGCTGTTAACCCAATGATCGGTGCGCAGAGTACTCCTCTCCCTGGACGTCAATAAGTAGTGAGCCTGATGGCATTCCTCCTATTTTACTGAAGACGTGTTTTCCGGAATTGGCACCAGTTTTAACGCATATTTTCCGGTGCTCCTACTCCATAGGCGTAGTTCCGAAATCATGGAAGACAGCCTTCGTGCACCCGATTCCTAAAAAAGGTAACCACTCTGATCTGTCCAACTATAGACTTATCGCCATCACCTCCTTGTTCTCTAAAATAATGGAATCTATTATTAACATCCAGCTCATGCGGTACCTTGATGATCACCAGCTGATTAGTGACCGCCAGTACGGTTTCCGTCGCAGTCGCTCGGCTGGTGATCTGCTGGCTGGTTACCTAATTCATTAATGGGCGGACACAGTAGATTCCAAGTTGGAATCGTTGGCTGTTAGTTCGGACATTGCGAAGGCCTTCGATCGGGTTTGGCACAAAGCGCTTCTCATGAAGCTTCCTTCCTATTGGCTTCCCGAGAAATTGTGCAATTGGGTCAACAGTTTTCTTGCAGATCGGAGCATCTAGGTCGTAGTATACGGTGCATACTCCGATTACAAGCCAAGATGGTGTTCCAGAAGGCTGCGTGCTATTACCAACGCTGTTTCTTCTGTATACATAATCAATGACATGTTGCAAACCAGTAACATTCATTGCTGTGCAGACGACATCACTTGTGATGCTTTGTACACCGGCCGTGCCAATATTTCTCGGGAATACTTCGACGAGTACCGGGACAAACTTTTGTCTGAAGTCGAGACTTTCTTGAACAAAGTCTCGAACTTGAGGCGACTAAATCTAGTCCAGTTCAATCCCCAGAAGACACAAGTTTGCGCGTTTACCGCTAAAAAGAACCCTTTCGTCGTATCTCCTCAGTTTTAAGGCACTCACCTTGTTGCCTCGGCCAGTATCGGAATCCTCGGCGTCGACATATCGAGTGACGTGCAGTTTCGTGCTCACGTGGAAAGAAGGCCATATTGGTATCTAAAATGCTAGGCGTGCTCAGGAACGTGAGACTGCATTTCATGCTGGCTCACTGCCTGCAACTTTACAAGGCGCAGGTTCTTCCGCACATGACTTTTCCCATCTCTGGGTTGGGGCTCTCCAGTGCCAGCTCCTTCCATTTGATCACATCCAGCGCAGAGCTGTTTAAATCGTCGGCGACCGAGCTCTTTCCAATCGGTTTGACTCATTGGCACTGCGAAGAGATGTGTTGCATCTCTTTGCGTATTTTATCGCATTTACAACGAGGAGTGCTCAGAGGAATTGTTCGGACTAATTCCAGATTTTCACCATCGCACATCGGGACAAAACTCGTGATATCATCCATATCATCTGGATGACTGGCGGTCCATCACTGTGCGATTTAAAAAAAAATTCTTCCTCGCACTCATTCCTTGTGGAATCGACTACCTGCAGAGATTTTCCGGACCGATACGACTTAGGGACCTTCAAGAACAGAGCCTACTTCTTTTTAAAAGGCCGGCATCGCATCTGCAATTCCCCTGGTGTTGCATTTGTTCATGGGCGGCGGTAATCACTTACGATCAGGTGAGCCGTATGCTCGTTTGTCCCCTTCTCCTATAAAAAAAACTGGCTATATACACCCTTCAGACGGGAAACGGGAAGGTAAGAGGGCGGTACCTACTTAGACGGACTCCTACGTAGAAAAGAACTAGTCACCCTTATAAAATTTGTTACGGAAATCAAAACTGACAATGCCGCGTAGTGCTGTGTCGAGAACATCTAGAAGTTATGAATTTTTACATTAGAAAGTTTATTTAAACGGAAACGAAATGCAAACTGCATCAAACCTTGTCGGGCGCTGTGAAGAGCTTGGTGTGCGCGGGCTCGGCCTCGAGCGCGACGCCGCCGCTCTGCTCTTGCAGCGCGCGGTACGTCTCCGACTTGGCGGGGTCGTACTGCACCGGCGGCTTGTGGCTGCACGACACGGCGGCGCCAAGTAGTGCGGGTTAGGGTTTAGTCGGTTAGCGGGCGCAACGTAATAAATACAGAAACATAATTAGGTAATCGTCAACGTAGCGCATTAGGACAACTACGCGGAAGCGGTTAGTGCTCACGTACGCTTAGTTTCAAGGAGGGAGAGGACTAATAATAAATAGTATAGAATAGAATTAACTAATTGTAATAAATAACAAACATATCATTTATAAATAAAAATGGTATAATCCGATTTTTAATCCAGTATCAGTAAAATGACAACTCATGGGTTGCTACACGAATTTAAAATAAAGTTTAATATTTAACGAATCAATACCATGTAAATAATATTATTACGTATATGAATGATAGAATAAAAAATCTATGCCTTAAACTTATTTATAATTATTTCACTTTTACATTTATTTCGTAGCTAGCAAACTATAAACTGTCATTTTACTAACTGGAATTAAAAGTGGGAGTATACAGTGTAAATTTTACACATTTGATAATGTTCCTTTTGTTTTTTTTTTTATATTTATGCCGATATCGTCACCAATCACCATGCCAGATGAAGTCTGTTTTTGGTGCGAAATAGTCGAAGTAAGGTATAGACGAAAGATAGCGAAATAAAAAATAAATAAGCATTAATGCGTCATGAGATGGGCGTCGACTTTTTTGCGTTTCTAGTAAAACACTTGCCTCTTGACAACGTGCGGCCGCCCGTAATGGCCGTTAGAGCTAAGTGAGCAAAGAAACACTCTATTAATATACAATTGTCTACGATTTTTATAAAAAACAATTGGATACAAAACGTTATTAAACGACAGTTGTCAGTCAGACGTAAAATTGTACGCTTGTTAGTCACATCTCTGATTTCTTGCAAAGTTGGTTCCTAAATCTTAAAATCACTAGGTAGTCAATAGTGTTCTTCGAATAATGTATGGTATTATTTTATAACCGGAATCAGGTTTTAATTAAAACAATTAGAGTAAGTTCTCTAAAATAAAACACATAATATTGTAGCTAAATCAGTCGTTTTAAATTAAATCAGTAGAGGAATTATAATATATTGATAAACTATGATTAAAATGTCTTAAAAAAACTTTTCATGAACTTAATTTTTTTATAAAATGTTACATATTCAAATCAGGTAGCTCAATATAGAGCACACCATTTTTGATAGAGAATAACATCCTTTTTATTTAACAATTTTAATCACATTAAGATATACAGCTACCGGATAGTATATGAATAATTAGTCACACTATAACGTTTTCAGAACGTATACAGTCAAAATATAATTGTAGCAGTAATAATGTTATAATATAAAGCTTGCCGAATAATTACATCAAACAGCGTTAAAATCTCAAAATTTCTGCTACTGGCATGTTCGCACATGTAGCTCTGCTACAGTTCACTGGCGAGTGGCGAGATGCTGCAAGGCAAGCCCATCGATTGCAGTCAACTTCACTTTGATAGCAACACCATCTTGCAGAATATTGCTATGATCCACATTATGCGAGTAGTACATATTTAGAGAACTTAGTCTACCATTAAGAAGATAATATTATCCACCAATTTAAAAGAATGCACAATTTGGAATCATATTACGTAAGAGGTTATTCTGTGCATATTATTTAGTAGAGAAGTTTCTTTTGGCAGCTTTCCATTCTCATGAAATTCATTGCTAATACGAACTGCGTCCAATTATTACGCAATATTCATTTAATTTAGCATTGAAAGCAAAGCAGAATATTTTGACTTTTAAGTTGTTTCTTATTTTTGTAAACTATTTGATAAATATCAAATGGATACTTACGGCAAGGGGGTCGTTTGTTGCCTTATTGAGTTGGCGATGTTTTGTTCCGAATATAGATTGATCGGCGAGTTGAACTGTTTGTGTACAAACTGAAAAGACATTTAAATCTTTAATTTTTATTTTAAGATGAATCCAATCGCAATAGTACATAAATAAAAATCATAATTCAGAAATAACTATAAATTTGTCTTAAGAAAATTGCCTAATAACATTGTTTTCATTATATTTTGCATAATTTATGTCACTAAACCTGTCTTATGTATCACATTATGTTATGTACATTGTACATATTATCACTTTTTAACTATTCTTAGTCATATAGTATCCCACCTATTGGACGGGGGGACTGCTATTGGTAAACTTAAATGACAGGATTTTAGACAAATAAAGAGTTATTTCAATTTGAAAGTACTTAATAATTTTGCAGATAAGAAAACTATGTAAAATGAAGAATCCTGAAATTATATGACTGCGGTGATGTATTATACAACGAAAACATGAAGCTGAACAACAGTGACTATAAAGATATGAAAGTGGTAGCGATTAGGCCGAAGAATCGTTGCAAGATGACTGTTAATGACGTATAGACTAAAGTTACTAACATTAATAACATTAATAACATTAATAAGTGTTTGCAAAAAAAACGTTAATTTGAATCGTGATAAAAACAATGAAATGAGTTTCATTTAATTTCTTCGTTCTAAGTGGTGTTGTAGTCGAAGATGGTAAAGCGCGCTGGCTTAGCTTAACAAAAGTCTGTTTAATATTGTTTGAGTACAATTCTTGCAACGTATCTCTGGCATGAAAAAAAATCGAAGAGCTTCGTATCAGAAGTTTAACACTATCATCATGCGTAAAGATGCAAGATGTGGAAACTATATCACAAAGCGTTAGTGGACCACCTTGTTGCTTTCTTCTCCAACCACTCGCTGCAACACCGACTCGGCAACCTGAGTTCGTTAGAAAAATTTCATATGTAAGCTATCCTACTACAGGTCTTTGTAAACAAACTTGACATTTTCATTATGCACTCAAATTTCATTGTCTTATTTCCGGAAATTGAAACTTAGTAATTTGAAATTCGTTTACAATTAGATATATAAAATTTACGGAATATAAATAAATCATTTGATAGACACGTGCTTGAGATACTGTAGATGGTTTTCAAAATATGTTCAGAGTTTAAGCTATGCTAAAACAGGTACCTACATACGTAACATAACATATAATGTGAGTGCTCAAATTTCATTTTTTTATTTCCAGGAATTGAAAGATAATCAGTAATTTGAAACTTACTAATTAAAAATATATTTTTGAAATTATCGTAAAAATATTCTCCTAGGTAGTTTTATAATGTGTTTTAAGAGTACCTACAAACTTGATTACATACTGTAATTTAATTACCAAATGATAGCTAAGCTGCGCTAGGATAATTTTCCTATGCGTTCATTTGTCGATCCTTTCTATTAAAAATTAAGTGCACATGCGCAGTTTATGACGTTCTAGCGTTTTAGTACCTATACAAATGTTATAAATATCTAAATTGGTATGGCCATAAATAGTGTTACATGTTAAAAATGTTTTTTTTTTCTGAATTTAAATTTGGAATGCGTTTATTTTGGTAGAGAACTTTGATCGATTTGCCGCTATTTCCCAAATTATTTTTCAACGTGATTGTGAAATTACAATATGGAGTTAGGCGTTGAAGAAAACGGAACCACATTGAGTATGGAACACTAAGTAATTTTTAAGACGCTTCACAAGCTAAGCATCAGCGATCAGTATCAGACTATTGATAGTTACACCAACAATTCTTCTGTCGCAAGCATTGATTTACATAATATGTAGGTATAAATTACTGCGAGTCGCAGATTATAAAAAATCTGATCCACCCCGTGTTATAATGACGGACTGTAAACGCGGTTAAATCCAGAATTCGATCAATTCCTTTGTAATAAAAAAAATATCGAGTGAAATGAAGATTCCTTTTAGAGACATTTTTTTATTAAAATTTATTTTTATTAAGCATGACCGTTGTGTAGGTCACAGGTCATAACACGGAATATAAACATACTGTAAATCAGCAAATGATTTTTTTTTAATTGAAGAGCACTAAAAATAGAAAATTACTGATTGTATGCTTACAGTTCGAAAGAGGCCTTGCAACTTATTGTAAAAGTTCAACGTGGTTATTATCCTACATATATTGATACACTTTTCAAAAATGTTCCGTAGGCTTTCCAGTAAGACTGCTCCTGGGTTGCGCCCTCCTTTCTGCCAAGGAGGGTCGCGTTCGTATACGGCTTAGAGATCTCTAGTCAGATCGTTAAGCCAGTTCCAAGGTTGGGTTTAGTGGGTAAAAGTCACCACATAACCACGCAGCCGGCTGCGTGGTATGCTATGAGCATTCCCAACCTCCCTCCCTCGCTTTCCGGAGGGTTGCCCATATTTGCTTCGGGCGCAAAAAAAAACTGCTCGTGGTCATAAGGCACGCTTTATTACTTATTTATTTATTTTGTTAAGTGAATTGTTTACATATGTCACAGTTTCTCAAATCATCCAGGCTTAACTGGTAGAAAATACCATAAAGCATCAATAAGTGCATAATAAAGATTAAATATATAACTAGGACACGAACAGCTCAAACCTAGTTCAAGAATAATATTCAATTTAATTGGATTTTTTAAGAATTGAATGACCCTCGTCCAGTCAAGATCTGAACCCGTTGGACTACAAATTATAGTTAGTATTAGAGAAGGATACTGTCTGCGGGAATCGTTAATCCGACATTGAGTCTTTCCAGAAAATTTGCAGAGCTAGCAATAACTAAAATGGAGTCAATGGGTGAATCCATAGATTCGAGGGTAAAAAGATTAAAGGTCTCTATCAAAGAATAAAACTGTTTATAATTTATCTCTTAGATTTCGATGAAATATCGATACACATAATTTTAATTATTAATAAACTATTTATTTAAAAAAAATGAATTTTAAATTTGAATTTGTAACAGAACTTATGGCCATTCTAGGTACAAGTGAGGTTATGATGTGTGTGCAGGTCGCATTTGTGTGCGAAACACCGTGCAATATATTATACGAAGTAAACATTGTTTATCAGTATAAATTGCTGATCGTGTAATGGCGGTGTAAGGATATCCACTAGCCCATCGTCCCGCGGGTGCCGTTAGAGGCGAGAGCCGACGGAAGGGAACAAAGTAGTAGACGGGCAACAGCGTGTTTCTAACAACAACTTAAAATAAAAAAATCCGGTTCCCAGCCTGCTGCCAGCGTGGCAACCATTGCAAATATCCCTCGTATGAGGTAATCTGCAGAAAAGGTTGCAGATTACCTCATACGATCTGAACAAAATTCAAGAAGAATTTTGTTCAGTTAACAAAATCTCTTAATACAAACAATACAACTATTTGTGACGCTGTTAACTTTGAAAATAACTTTGATATATTTTTTATGTTGATTTATCTAAGTTCTAAATATATATTCATATATAATTTTTTTATTAATTCGTCTCGATTTGAACAACAAAATGCACATTTTGATTATTCGTTATAAAGTACAACACGAAAACGAACTAGTTACCTTTATATCAACTATATAAATCAAATAAAACTCAGTCGAAATAAATTATATTTTTTTGAGAATTGTTATTGTTTGAGAATATATAGAGAAGAAGAAATTGTGCATTTCCCAGATGTACAATTTCTTCTTCTCCTTTTTCTGAATGAAAACATTCAATGCACACTGTGTGCAAATCTACGGCGGACAATTCTAAGATTTCAAAAAGTTGGACATATGTTGATGGGAAGAAAGATTATCAGCGCAAAAGTATTTTGTAGTATCGGCTTTACGCTCATTAAGCCTTGTTTCCGTAGTGAATATGGGCAGACCCTTCAAGATATACAAGCCAGTTTGTGTATTACTCAAAATGACTATAATGCTGTAGCGGAATAGCTATAAAAACAAAAATAATGTTCATTAGGTGTAAATGGCTGTTGCGTAGCTACGTGAGCTCATTGCAACGTGGCGTACCTTCTGCTTCATGAGAGTGTCGCGGTAGTCGTGGTGCGGGGGCGCGCGCATGGCCGGGTTGGGGTGGTGGCGCAGGTAGCTCTCCGTGGGGCCGGGCTCGCGCCGCACCTTGGCGCCCGGCAGCACCAGCGGGGTCGTGCGGTAAGGCTGCGGTAACGCCATATCATAAAAATACGATTCAATTCATCTATGACTTAAATTTTACTTATACAAAAGTAACCTACTCCCATTAATACTAAACTTACACCATTTAGGGGAAGGGAAGGGATTTTACGTGGTTGAGCCATGCTGCAGTTATATTTGTAGTATAGTTGTAGCACGAATGGGTCGGCTCGACCGGGGAGGGACCACGCTCTCACAGAATACCAGCGTCAAATAGTAGCTTAATGCTGCTGTGTTTCGTATGGTGAGTGTAGAGATCCGGAGAACCTTTTTACTGGAAACGAGGCATTCCACCTATGTCCTCACGGATGACAACGCATCTGCAATTTGATTCGTAATCGATGATAGATGTAGATGTCTGTGGGCCACAGCAACCACTCACCACCAGGTGGGCTGTGTGCTCGTTTGTCATCCTATCCTATATAAAAAAGACTAATAAAACCACTTATGTGTAATGTGATATTAATTTATAAACACTTTATAATAACGAAGATATTAGTGCGTAAAGAAATTGCTTTTATTTTTGATTTTGTTAGGTACGTCATAAAAAACGGTAGCTATGTACCTCTCGGTAGAGAGTATTATTGTTCTGCGGTAGTTACATTGGAAGGTTCAATCATTCAAACGCCTCGAGAATTCGGTCTAAATATAAAACGAGGTTGTTTCAGTTGGTTTATGATTACTGGCACAATTTCGGTTTCGGAAATTACGTGATTAAATGTAGGTCGCGGTCATTCGAAACATATATAACTTGTAGCCTATCTATAGTACTTCATATTAGCCACCCCATTCTATATAGGTATTGGGCGGGTAGAATCAAAGGACGAGTTTCTTTACATGTTACGAGACATTTTATTTGCTTGCCTGAGCAGTGATATTTTAAGTGGGGGATAAACGAGTACTTACTCATTTATCCCCATTTTTGCGGAAGAAAAATTGTTAATGGTGGAAAATTGACTCACGTTAGATTTTATTATAAGCCTTAAAAATTTAGAATAAAATAACTGTTAAAACGTAGGAACATTAGCATGTAAGCATATTTTATTTTACGCAATTGAAGAAAAAGTTAAGTTACAAAAAAAACGCATTAGCGTCCTCAAACCTTACGTCGGTTCACTATATCTTTAACAAAACTTTATATTATAAATATTAATATTTTTTTTAAATTAATAAATGTATAATTATTAAACTTGGCTATTATTATTATCTCTGTGTTACTTTTGCAAGTCATTAAAATTACAAAATATATTAATTACAAGTCACTATAAAAGAAAAATGAACAAGTTATGAAACAAAATGTATTCTCTTTGAATTTTGTATTAGAAAATTACTCGTTTCATTGTGTATTCGTTTCATTCATAAATTAAAAAATATAATCAATCAGTACAAAATTTGTACTGATTGACCATATTTTATTATTACTCAGATAAACCTATCAAAATTACAAAACAAATAATAATAATGAACAATAAATAGCGTGGCAACTATGGCTGACATCGCTAATAAAAAGCAATTTGTGGGAAGGCCTCTATTGAGCAGTGGACTTTTTGTAGGCTGTACTGAATGAATGGATGGATCGATTACAAAATAAACAGAAATATTAACAAGAAGTGTAACAGGGTTGTAAGTTTGTAATGCTGCGCTGTCATGTGCCGACCTACTGAACGAGGCTCTAGCGACCTTCAAAATAGCGGAGTATCCATTGTAATAAAGAGAGCAACAATGCCAGTAAGCTTAGTCAGAATGATGAGTGTGGGCAAAGAAAGTCAGTAGAAATTTTTGGAGGGACATCTATGCATCAGTGGATTAAAAATGATAGATATATCTTTACAATTTAAGATTTTTGCATTTGAAAAACATCAATAAAAATTACAAAATTTACGTTCATTAGATGATGTTTTAAAGATCGCAAAGTTGGTGCCGGGCTTGGATATTTATTTTCGTCTTGTTTACAAAGACGCACGTTTGGCTTCTGACGTAATTCACATGCGCGTAATTTATGTATAAAGTTCACTCTGTATGTAATCCTGTAAGATGTGAGTATTATCAAATATATTTCACAAACAAGGTATAATAAAACTCAAATACCTTATTATTAAAAAGAAAGGCCATTTATTTCCATTCATGTTTATAATGCCGAATGTCATAACATGATTAAAGCTAATATTCAATTTAAAAACCACACAGTTAGACATTATCAAAAAAAAAATTGTGAATGAATTAAAAAAAACTACTCTCGGGCTTCAAATATAGTTAGCTCCGGTTGTATGTGGTAGAAATTAAAGAGTAAATAATTGGAACATAGGTATCTACATAGGTTATATTGGATGTGGTATTGTAGGTTTACGTTCCTATTTTTTAATTCATTAAAGTTTAGCCCTGAGTTATTTTCATCTGGCGGCTGTCCATATTTTAAAGAATTCTTCAAGTACAATATTATACACTTATTTTTGTATATAATGTCATTGGTCAAGTATTTTTTCATTGCAAAAGGTTATCAGCTTAGTACAAGTAAAAAGGTTTAGAGAGTTTGATCATGGTTTCAAATGATTTAATTATTTCAAATGTTAAACTGCGTTTTGATAGAAGTATCGATCGATTTGATGGTTTTCGATGCGAATCGACTCTAGAGTGTGGTTTAAAATACTAATGATAGACAACAGTTTAGAAGATTGACGGTTATTTTAAAATTTTACTAACTAATACCGAGGCTACAAGCGTTGGGAATGTATAAGACACGCGACGTGACATTGATTCAAAAATAGAATCAACAACTGAGAATTTTAAATTAAATGTAGCTATTAAACGAAATTGTATTGCAGTCTAAATGATTAGTTTTTTTTAAATTAATTGTTGCAGAGTTGTCCCTTGAACCATGGGACCCAACATAATAACTACGTATTTTCTTCAGAAATTTTCCTTTGACAGACAGAATTGGTATCTTCATCCTATAATCTCTATATAGCTGACATTAATATATTCTGAGGTATAAAAATACGAGGACGACATATTTATACGTGAAATTAACGTATTTACCACGTATTATCTTATAAGGAACATTTTATTACTCTTACAGGCCAGAAGTGAGATAACCGACCAGGAGACGAAGACAGGTTTAAAGATCATTCCCACTCCTGGCAAGCGTGACGATAACAGTAAATCTTCTCTACAGTGCGAGCTCATGCTGAACACTGAACTATTAAGAGTTGATAGAGATGTAAGTGATGAAGAAAAAGAGTAAATCTTTGTACATGTACCGGACACATACAAGCACTCCGATCAACATTTACATTACATTTACATCTACCCTTGATTAAGAATCGAAAAGGAAAGCTCCCTTGAGGATGAAAATGGAATGCCTTCTACGGATAAGAAAATTAGTAAAAAGGGTATCAGGTTCTCGTTCCTTACGATGTGAAACAGCAGATTTATGTTGCTATTTTACGCCGGTATTCTGTGAAAGCGTGGTCCTTCTCCGATCGAGCACAACCATTTGTGCTTCAGTCATTATACAGCTGGTACGTGGCTCTACCCTTGGCGGCACTACACGGAAAATTTCCATATCTATTTCAACTATTGGTTACAATGGCGATAATGAATTCGCAGATAAGTTTTCTAAGTTTTGTTAATTTCTAATATGTTTTTGCCGAAATAAAATTTGTACATACATGGATCATTCTTTTTTTTTCAGTATTAATTATTTTAGTCCACATTATAAGTAATAGCTGTTGTTATTTTTCAACATGTTTTTGCCGAAATAAACATTGAGTATATAGATGGAAGTCGTTGATTATACTTTTAATCAGTATTAGTTATTTTAGTACCACATTATTTATTTAGGAAACTAAGACGCTGAAAGATTATTTAGCGACATGAAGATTAGCCTATCGTCAAAATAATAAACACAATAATTGTCAAAAAAACAAGCACACTGTTTGCAAAATTACATCACGAATCGTTATACAACACACGAATTGAGTATTTTGGAATTAGTCATACTCTGAAAAGCAAAAGATCTTATTTCTCATTTGATGGAGCGTCACATTACTTCACCACTGCAAAGAAAGGAAAATACAATCTGTAAACAATATAAAGGAACAGCGAAGTGACGCACCCAGTTGGTGACGACCTCTTCTTCAGGATGCATCGGGTCCTGGTATCCGTTGGGGAAAAAATTGGGGTTGACTGCCATTTTAGTGGCACCCGTTAGCGCGGACGTGTCGTACTGAGAACGATCGCGGACTGTGACTCCAGCCAGCTCATGAGTAAACAACGCTTCAATGCATTCTATTTTGGAAATATGACGGGAGGACTAGGCGTCAGCGTGGGCGACAGCTAGCTCGACCTAGCCTTGTGGAAATCTCTTAGGAAAAGCATATTATGAATATAATTGATTTGTGAATAGAACATAATCATAGTAATTTTAAAAATAATAAATAAACTACACAAACTAATGAAATTTACATGAATGCAGACTGTAGGTATTATAAAAAACTAAAAGAAAAAGTATTAAAAGAACATTTTCAATGTCAAATTGGCTAATCCAATTAGTCAAACATAAGAGAAATCTTGTTCTTATTGGCTATTTACTACATCTAGGAACAAACGCGCTAGCACGCTGAGTATCACTAATTCATAACGTTGCCAAAAGTTTAGAATATAATTGTTATAATTTTCGTTATCTAAATGGATCACGAGATATTTATTATTGTAGCATATGATTAAGTATTTAATGAAATTACACGACTAGAATATTCAAAATTATATATACCCACAGAGTATGTAAGTATACCTAGTATAGATAATATTTACGAAATATACGCTAAAATCTGTGGCTTACTCGTTACAACCAATTACTTCCTATCTTTGGTAAGTCTTTCTTTCATCAACTTCGATTGGGCTAATTAATAATTCTAAATAATAAAAATGTGCTTGGCTTGGCTCTCGTCCAGGCTATAATCGAGTGCCTCGTTATAAAAGTGATTCGGTTAACCTACATCGTCTGGCGTTATACAGGCAAAATAGCAATTTTACAGAAACGCCTACTTTATGAGTTAAAATAAAAGCGGTCTAGGTGCGACCCGAAAGGTCCACACGACTAACTTCCCAGTGGAAATAATAAAAAAATATGATGTTTTAATATTTTATACAATTTTTTAATTCGGCACAAAAAACGACTTGACCGATTTTGCTCAAAATTTAATGAGGTCTAACTTACATAATTATGCGTTAATTGAAACAGGTCCCATGTCAATATCACTCTTTGTTCTCGAGATACACGAGGCGAAAATTGAATCCGAACATACATACATACGTACATGTGCACACACGCACATCCTCTTAAAAACCATACTATTCGACTCTAAAGACCTTGAAACGTGGACAAATGTTAAAATTTCCAATTGGCAAAATCGGACCCATTACAATAACATCCCACTGGGAAGTTAATAAATTGAATTTTCAATAATTGGAAAGTTAAATTTTATTATTTTATTTTTGTGTTGTTTCAATCATTTTATCTCTTCTGCCTAGTGGTCTGTCTGTGTAGATTCTACCCTCATTACCTACTTCAACCAGCGAACAGCATTACGTGCACTGCTGTGTACCGGACTGAAGAGTACAGAAAGCGAGTATAACTACACGCTATGATGCACGCCATCTTAGACTTCAGAGGTGACAAGGCATCTGTAGCCTCCTTCGTTCTAAGTTGGTGGCAGCCGCCAGGTGGCTTGTAAGTTCGCCTGTTGCTCAGAACAAACAGTGAAAACACATAGTTTTATTTAAAAAACCATACTCACTATTCAGCCCAACACAAGTCCGGCCCACAGCCCAGTGTTGAATATAAGCCATACATTGCCACAAAGTAATAATTGGCCCGTCAGCAGTGGACTTTTAATAGGTTGAATGATAATGGTAATGGAAACAGCTAAATTAGTATACCTACTATACATATTTTCAGTGTTATTTCGTGTCGCACCCTACTACGGGAATCTGCTAGTTGTTTTGTAACTACAGTCTGTTATTCTAAAAATGAATCACAAGAATAATTTTAATGGATACCCTACTGCCCTACTGGAATCTCATCAATTGAAATTAGTTTAAAAAGTGTAAAGCTCGACTATTTTTTAAACGAATGTAATGTAATTAATATGCAACAATATTTCTTAGCATATTGCATAACTTTTCGCAGAAAATATTAAAATAATTGTTAACGCAAATAATTAATTTATTACAAAATTGATGATAAATATTTAAAAAAAAACATAGTTGTGCTAATTTAATTATCAAACTAATAAAAAAGACTGATTTAAAAGAACTCAGGTTCACGCGGACAGATTTTATGACAAAAAAGGTTGTTTTTTCGGTCTGATCTAAGGTAAGTGGTTTAAACATTACATTGTAATAATTTACTGTGCTCAATATAAATAAAATACCATGTAATATTTTATCAGTTAATCCCTAATGAACTGTTTATCTCACGGTAAGGAAGGACAATATAACCTCATTTGACATTTGGAACGTTTTTTTTTCGTCGCGTGCCGTTTCAGGTAAAGAGGCCGTGGTCTACTAGGCCAATTTACCTGAAACTTTTCAATCAACTTTCAATTTTTCTTGTAAATATAAATAATATTTGCTATTGTTTTAGATAATATGATAAATACCGATAAACGGACGTCGCAGCAGCAGACATGAGACCCGGTTGCGATGGAAAAATCTATAAGAGCTGTAAGAAACGAAGAATGGGAATTTGTTCTTTTGTGTCTGATTAATGAACAATAAAAAATAATTAATAATTAATAAAGTTTTGGTACCTTTGTCGCATTTAATTATTTCCTGTGTCAAATTTAAATAAAACTTGAATTGATCTAAGAATAATTGCATTTATTGAGACTGCAACTTTACCTGCTTTGTGGGTTCATGTAGGCCACTTTACCCAAACTGGATAGATAGAGTGGTCAGTTTCTCATTTCGGCTTTAAACTTAATAATACTATAAAATGTTTTGATATAAGTCAAAATAAGAATGTGATGTCAAAATTACATCACAGTCATTCAAGCTTTAGAGTGGCCACTTTACCCGACCTTCCCCTTTGTTATTGAAATCCTTCGCTGGAATGAGTGAAAACTTGTGCCGGAATGTATATATGTTACCAATACTTTACTAGACTAAGTGAGAACTGTTTTTACAGATTATATTTAAAAAAAATTGATTTCCCTCACCTGGCTCTGTATAGACTCGTCGATGACATCATCGTTACGGCTAGAGGGCGGTGACAGTGTAACGGTACGGAATTCACCCTCATGCTGCACGGGGAACTGCGTGTACGGCGGCACCGGCGTGCTCCTCGGAAGGGACTCCGGCCCACGCCACGCGCTGGGCAACGGACTGGGCGTCCTACACACATACTTCGTCCATCATTTGTTATAGCCACTTACACACGTCCGATAATTGCTAGTCGATATTTCGTCATAGAAACTAAAATACTTGTATCTGATACTAATATAGTCTACAAAAGAGTGGTCATATGAAAAATCAGTTAGCGCCTGATCGAATTTTGTTATACGCCTCTGTTTGCAGTAAATGAAACGTTCGACAAAGATGTGCGTTATACGTGCCCCATTGTGGACAAATAGATAGCTGGTTTAGATTATATCTTAGTTAATCTATATGGCTATTACATGTAAAAAATGTCTGTATGTACTACAAGTTTAATAAATAAATTATATTAAACTATATTATCTGACGGCAGTGTGCGCTGAGTCGACCAAAAAGCTGGTGAGAAAGAAGGATTTGCGAACACTCTGACGTTTGTTATAGACTAACTACATTCCAGTTCTTTATTATTTTGGTCAACAGACTAAAAAAGGAGAACTTCTTAGTTCGAGTGTATTTCTTTTTATGTGTGTTACCTACCTCAGAATTTTTTCTAGGTGAACCAAATTTGATGATTTTTTTTTTATTTGAAAGCTTATGCTTCTCATGTGGTCCCATATAAATTTGATCAAGATCTGACCAGTAGTTTTGAATTATCCTTAATAATGCGTATTTAATTGATGTTCTCAATTTATTTATATTGAAGTGTCAGGTGTACCAAATTCTTAATTTTACCACTTGTAATATTAAGAATAAACATAGCAATCTTAGTGTTTAAGCTAGATTAAAAGAAAACGTAATTTCACTGTCAAAAATTACACCGTCCTTAGTTAATACATTTTTATTGTTCCTTAATAACTGGAAATGGTGCTCTTCCATTGAAAGGACTTCGATCAACAACGAAAGGACACGTTTTCGTTATCGCCACGCTCGGCAGACGGACGTTCAATAACCTTTAATTCCCTACGAGTTACCCATACTTACATTCCGCATTTCTATTCAATAATATAACTGTCAACTCTCACATAATGTTTCTGTTTCTGCATATAGCTTTTGAACCAATCTAAGGCTAATCCCCTTATTTTCACATTTTCGAGCTTTTTACATACTAAAAGAACGGAAACAGAAGACCTTGATCTTTCAAGAATACGCCAATGCAGCATTCGTTTTCGTCACGAAGCGAAGAAGAAGGCGAGAAGATATAATTATGTAAGATATAATAATGTTGTGGTCACAGTACAAATCCACGAACGCAAAGACTTTAATGTGCTTGAAATAAAGTTCATTTTTCTTTATTTTTATCGATTGACAGATTTAGTAATAATCCTATTATACCTTTAAACGAGCAATTCTTGTATATATATAATCGGGATCTCGGAAACGCTCCAACGATTTTCATAAAATTTAGTGTCCAGGGAGTTTCGGGGGCAATAAATCGATCTAGCTAGGATTTATTTTTAGAAAATATCCTTTTGTTCATGTTTTCAGGCAATAAAAAAACTGCTACAATATAAGAAGGTAAATTTTGATAAGTTATTAACGATCGTAATAGCTCAGATGGGATGTTGTTCGGGCGTGATATCGGAGTTCCGTGGTTCGCGTCCCGTCTTGGGTCCGACTTTTTTCCCTTTTTTTTTAAAGTTCCCTTCTTTTGTGAGAAAATCTATTATTTCGAGCCCTTTTTTTAGTATTTTTTAAAAATACGAAAATTTGAATTAAACTAATTGCACTCATGATTTTTTATTCAAATAACCAGTTCAGTTTTTTCTATTATGTCAATAAGATCAAAAACTTTTTTAATTTGTTAATTAATAAAGTAGTTTAGTTAATAATTAATAAAAAAAGTAATTATTCATGTAATTTGTATATAAATGTAACTTAAAAAAACCGAGCAAAGCTCGGTCATCCGGGTACTGTAAGCTTAATGTAGTTACATCGTTCCCATTTTATCACCATCTATCGGATATCTGCATAAATCTTGTTGGTATTTCACCTTATCTATTTGTTTTTCGAATGTCAGTTTGTCATTATAGCTACAGATTTTCATACGTGCCATTAATAAGCGTTATTGCTTCATAAAATATTAAAAGCAAGCAATAATGAAACCTATTTTAACATAATGAGGTTCTCTCGATAATGTCTTGTAAAGCTGTTTTGTAAATGAGATAAATTGCTTATAATAATAAAACATGGTATTACCTGAAAGGAGGTGCAGAGGCGTTGACTATCGGCGAGCGTGGCGCTAGTGTAGAGTCCCGCGGACCTTCGCGCTCCGCATCCCTACACATCATGCATGCATTCTAATACAGTGTGCACAACATTACACAACGTATATCTACATTCGCATTCGGATTATTGTTACGTCGATTCTTTTGACTCAAAGAAAGCACGCAGATATTTACCACAAAGGTGTCGTTTCTGTCGACAATATTTCCGATGCTTTATTTTAGAACTCTGTCTAATGTTAGCAGTATAATAAAAGGAAGTTTGTTTATATATGTATTATGTAATTATTATATCAAAAACATTAATTAAGAACTATGAAATCTGAGAGATAATGTAATAACATTATCTCTCAGATTTCATAGTTCTTCGCATAGCACGTCAAGCACCAGCCTTCAGTGGTGTAGTCCATAAAATAGTTTTAAAAGACCTTATAAACATTTTTTAAAGGAAATAATGTAATATAAGGCGGTATACTATATCATAAGTGAAGAAGGTTTTCTCGAACCTTAGCATCGGTATGATTTATCAGTATTTTCCTAATAACGCCTTATAACAACTTTTTCATAAATATTTTGCCCAAGTGATACTACGCTACGTATGATAAGTCTCTTTTAGAGAAATAGGAGATTTTAGAAAGATTTGTTGAGACATACATAATATAACATACATTACATACACAAACGAAGAAATTAAAAAATAAATAAAAATGTATGATTCAGCAAATACGTTTTTAGATATATTAACGTATTTAATTGATAATAATATTAGCATTCATCATTTTTGATTATGCCATTAAGTAATTAACTACGTGCTTTAAAAGATAAAAAGAACTAAAAACTAATAAAATACTAATTTCAAAAAGTTCTCTAGATAAACTTTTTGTTACTTAATCTTAAGAACTTTCCATCATTATCAAAATTTCATGCGCCTGAAGCAATTTTCACGCTGCTGTGCATTTTCTGGTGATGAAAACTGTAGTTATTCTCTTTAGTTGTTTTTTTAGTTTTTGGGAATTAAAAGAAGTCCCATGAGTCACAGATTTAAAAGGAGAACGAAACAGAAACTACTTCCGGTGTGCTGCCTCAGACGTCACAACTTTCATAAAGGAGTTCCTCGTTTTAGCGCCGAGTGCGCGGGCGCGTTGTCATGGTGAAGCATGTCGTTTCTTGGTTCAAAATTATAGACATTTTTAGTTTTTAATATTAATTAATAAAGTAAAATATGTATTTGCTGTCATTTGCTTTTCTAGTAATATTTAGAAACGTTTAACTCAACAATTAATTGTCATTAAATTGTTCTGCTCAATTTGCTCACGAAACTGTTGGCGATGCATTCATGCACTACAACAAAAGGAATTTATTAACTTCCCAGTGGGAAGTTATTGTAATAGGTCCGATTTTGCAAATTGGAAATTTTAACATATCTCCACGTTTCAAGGTTATTAGAGTCGAATAGTATAGTTTTTAAGAGGATATCCGTGTGGTATGTAAGGGTGTACGAGTATGTTTGTTCGGATTCAATTTTCGCCTCGTGTATCTCGAGAGCAAAGAGTGATATTGACATGGGACCAATTACCGTAATTATGTAACTTAAACCTCATTAAATTTTGAGCAAAATCAGTCGTCGTTTTTTGTGCCGGATGAAAAATTGTATAAAATATTGAAACATATGATATTTTTTTCTTTCCACTGGGAAGTTAGTCGTATCGACCTTTCGTGTCGCACCTAGACCGCTTTTTTAATCTATGATGACAATTAACATTTTTAAGAGAAATACGGCGTCCATTTTATAGTAAAAGCAATTTTTGCAACTGATAGTAATACCTACCAATTTATTTACTGTTTATATGAGAGGAGGCGAACGAGCATGCGGGTCACCTGATGGTAAGTGATTACCGCCGCCCATGAACAACTTCAACACCTGGGGAAGTGCAGATGCGTTGCCGGCCTTTAAAAAAAGAGTAGGCCTAAGTTTTATCGGTCCGGAAAAATTTGCTGGTGGTAGTCGATTACACAAAGGAAGTTGTGCGAGGAATAAAACTTCTTGTAAATCGTACAGTCTTGTAAAACCAGATATGGATGGTATATCGAGTTCTATTCTATTCCGAACAATTCCTCTGAGTACTCCTGATGGTAAATACGATACACAAAGAGGTGCAACATCTCTTCGCAGCGCCAGTGAGTCAAGCCGATCAGAAAGAGCTTGGTCGCCGATGGATGCGATCAAATGGAAGGAGCAGGCACTGGGTAGCCCAGGCACAGAAATGGGAGCAGTATTCCATGTCAGACCAAACCTGCGCCTTGTAAAGTTGCAGACGGTGTGCCGGCATGAAATAATGTCCTTCTCTGCTGAGGACGCTAAGCTTTTTGGAAGCCCATTTGGCCTTCTTATCCATGTGACCACAAAATTGCACGTCATTCGATATGTTGACGCCGAGGTACGAAGTAACAAGGGGAGTGCCCTGAAACTGAGGAGATTCGACAAAGGGGTTTTACTATGAAACCAATACTAATAAGCAGTAATAAGCGAAGCAAGCAATATTGAAAATACGCATAAATATTTATGATTTGTTTATATTTGGTTTTTCGAAAAGAAATACGGTAACATATATAAAAAGCAAGCCGACTCATCTAAAATTAATTTAATTAAAATTATTATAAAGCTCTATAGTTAAGATTAGGTTCTAATTATTTTATCGACTAAAGTTCAATACAATTATCTTTATCTATGTCTGAAACCACGATGTCTCCTAAAAAGTTAAAATATCATATTCAAAGCGTCACAATAATAGTATTACAACATCGATACACCAACAACGAAAGGACACCAATAAATATATATTTATCTTACTCAAAGCGATCGTAAAACGAGGGAGTGGGCGAGCGTCCTATAAAGCTCCCGCTGGAGCGCGGCATTGAATACAACTGAGTACTCGGTCTGCCCCTAAATAAAGAACATTCAAGTTTGGGTCGCAAATTATTTTAATTTTAATTAATTATTAAATTATTCATTAACCAAAACCCACTGGATGTTAGCCAACTGGGTTTATATATATATATATATATATATATATATATATATATATATATATATATATATATATGTGTGTGTGTGTGTTTTTGTGTGTATATATATGGTTGACGTTTACGATAAAAGTAAGTAAGTACAGTTATATAAATGGAACACAAGCATCTCACACTGTGCACTAATATTCAATGCTAAGGTAATACACAATAGCGACGTTAGAGGTAACTACTGTAAGAATTATCAAGGGATCTATTGAACATGTTAAATAACGGACATTTTTTATAGAATAAGAGTGTCAAAATAGCACACAGTCCACCTGATGATAAGTGGATGCTGTGGCACATAGACATCTACATCTATTATATTATCTATCCTCAGTTAAGAATCAAAATGCAGATGCGTTGGACTAAGACAGATTACCTCGTTTCCAGTAAAAAGGGTCTCCAGTTCTCTACACACACCATACGAAACACAGCAGCATTGAGCTGCTATTTTAAGCTGGATTCAGTGAGAGCGTGGTCCTGGCCCCGATCGAGCCGACCCATTCGTGCTACACAATCATAACATAGCTGCAGAATGGCTCTACCACGTTGAAGACATGAGAAAGTTATACCATAATATATATAATGTGTCTTTGCTCGACTTTTACGATACTCTTGGGATGAACATGGGGTAGTAATCTCTCTAAAAAAATAAGATGATTAAAATAAAATAAAAAATAATATCATTAGATATAATAACTCTCCTTGAATTCATCATGTCTGTCTCAAAGTTATTGTTTTAAACGGACTAATTCCACGAGTTGTGTGTATATTAAATCCAGCTTGTTTTTTTTTTTGGTGTAGGTTGTCATTATTTTTATGTATGTACACATCTGTGCTGTTTGCCGAGAGCTAGCGAAACTAGGAGAAATATTATATCTGATCAAGGAGAGATATTATATTCCGCTTTTTTACGAAAGCTCTTACGTCACGTTTTCTTTAAAAATATTTACAGCAAAATCAACATTACCTCTGCACAACCAATTTAATCTGGTTAGAGGCGTTTTTGAAGAGATTTTGTGCATCTTCGTGTCGTAAATCGCGTGCGTCGTAGTCGTCAATTTTCGCAATGATGTCGCCGCGTGCGAGTTCTCGACCAGCCGGCGTGCCGGACGTCACCTGCAAATATATACAGAGAATTATACATCTATCTATTACAGTCAATAAAGCCGATTGATGAACAAAGGTCTTCCCCATAAGTTGTCTCATTGGAAGGATTTTGCCTTAGTTGCCACGTTTGGCCGGCGGGTTGACAGCCGCCGTTTTAGTGTTTTCAGTATTATCAGGAAAATGCTAAGTGCCTTTCTAGTCCAGCAGCTTGAAAACATCTTCCAATGCAGCGGTGAAGAGTTTCGGGGATATAACGTCACCCTGTCTTACACCTCTCTGCAATTGGATAGGTTTTGAACTCTGGTTCTGTACTCGGATAGCCATCGTAGCCCTACTGTACAAACACTTCAGCAGTTCGATATACCGACAGTCAACTTAGCACCGCTCAAGGGACTGTAGCACTGTACAAATTTCGACGGAATCAAATGCTTTCTCATAGTCCACATACGCCAGGCAAAGTGGCAGTGTACTCTTCGATCTTCTGTACTACCATGTACCATGTCTATGGTACTGAAACCTTTTCGGAAACCGGCTCGTTCGGGAGGCTGGATGTCGTCGAGTCTGCGTGAAAGACGATTCGTAATGACTCTCGAAAACAGCACGTAGACGGGGCTCAGATGGGAAATCGGTCTGTAGTTCTTCAAAGAGACCATTGTCGCCTTTCTTGAAGAACAAGACCACCGCACTTCCGCTCCACGCCTCCGGAGTAGTGACGTAGTCACCATGGAAGACGAAATTGAAGAGCTTCTGAAGGATTTTAAGTACCGGTGTTCCACCCGCTTTCAGAAGCTGTATCCTCGCTGTAATTCTATCCTCGCCTGGGGCCCTGCCGTTTTTAAGGTGCTGGAGAGCCATTCTAATCTCGCTCAGACTGACGTCCGGGTTACATCGGAATAGTGTCGGATAAGACTTGTTTTGGATCGTTACTCACATTTGTGTGGCTCCAACGATGATGTGTACAACTGCCCATAGAACCTTTCAATCTCACTCAAAATCTCAGGTGTCCCAGAAACGATGCTGCCACACTCAGCCTTCAGCTTTGACAGTTGACTATTTTTGGCTTACAGATTTCTGGCAAAGACTTTAGAGCCTTGGTTTCGCTCGATCTTTCTTCAATACGAGCAGTATAAAAGTTGCGTAAGCCCCGCCGCATGCATTTGGAGATCTATCTGTTACGTTGCCTGTATGCTGTCAAATCTGATGACGATTGCAGCCTCATCTCCCAGAGTGTGATCAGAGAGTTTTTGTGTTCTTCTGCGGCGGGTTTTGCAGAACTTAGCTCCAACCGCATGAACTGTTTCCACGAGCTTGTTATTCGTATCGACTACTGCATTGCAATGTTCTAGGCACTGAAAACGGTTTTGTAACTCGAGCTGAAAGGTTTCGGGATTTTGGATTAGAGTATGTGGGGGAAGGAGCATTGACTTCATGAGGCGAGACCTCTCCAACTTAACGTTTAAGTTCAGTGTGCCTCTAACCATTTGGTGATCGCTGCCACTTTTCACCCACGCGATCACAAAACAGTTGCCGTCTAGTCGTCATAATGAATTTAATTTCAGGTCCACTTTCTGTGGGCCCCTTTCTCCATGAAGTCGGCCAGCTGTTGGCCCCTTGGGTTCCGTTGCCCTATGCAAATTTACCTACCTTCAGCTCACCGTTCTTTCATTGGCCTAGTTTTGCGTTGAAGTATCCCATTAACACCGTATAGTATATATTTTTTGCCAGGGTTGTGTTTAACTTAAAATGTGACAATATTTTGTGCAACATTTAACAGCCGCAGATGCCACTAAATTTAAAGAGTGGGCAGAGCAAGGAACGAAAAAGTGTTTTGAGTTCCGAAATAATGCCAATAAATATTTCTTCAGCTTTCCTTTTAAAATTTAAATGTTTTTAATTTGTTGAAGACGTAAAAATCTGCCGCCCTAGGCTCCAGTCTAGTAAGCCTAGCCTATCACAGGTCTGCAGCTTCTGCTGCTAGTCAACTGCTTCTTTCATTAAGTCGTGCATAAAGTCACTCATGTCTTTACGTGATAGAGCCATGTTGCAGCTATATTATGGTTGTAGCACGAATGGGTCGGTTCGACCGAGGCAGGAACACGCTCTCACAGAATACCAGCGTAATGCTGTGTTTCTTATGGTGAGTGTTCTCTACACTCACCATAAGAAACACACCGGAGACCCTTTTTAGTTTTTACTGGAATCGATAAGATATTCCATCTTAGTCCACAGGAGGGTCAACGCATTTGCATTTTGATTCTTAGTTAGGGATAAATGAGGATGTCTATGGACCACAGCATCCAGATACCATCAGGTGGATTATGTGCTCGTTTTTCATCCAATGCTATAAAAAAATGTGCATTATTACTCTGCCTACTGGGAGAATGCCTCTCGAGAACATATTTCTTGCCTATTCATTTTCAATTCATCGAGTTGTATGACTGAACAGATCAGATTCAGATCTTAAACATAAGTAAATCTGCAGCATTCATTCGTTCCCGTTGGAACGGTATCCACAAATGTATTGTTAATTAATGTGTTATTTCTCAGCCATGCAAGATTCCTCACAATGTTTTCCTTCACCGCCGACCACGAGATAAATCAGCACTTAATATTATAATTAACGAATTCAATACAATGAAATTGTTAATTGCAATTTTATTCCAATAAAACCCGGGTTGCTTCCTCGACGTTAATTCCAAGCAAAAACATAATGGCTGACTGAGGCCAAATACCAGAACAATAATCCGGTATTTGTGTGTGTACAATGTTAAAGTGGAGCTAACCCTAACAAAATGGTAACTGTTTGGTGGTCACACAATGGTGATAATTTACAATAGCTTCTTTTTCTCTCCAGATCTATTAATAACAGCAGATATCGACTGGGAAGACCTTCGAACAAAACTTTCAGAGAAATAACCCCAACTGTTCAAACAATCTTTGATATTATTACTCCATGATAATGCAAGACCTCACACTGCTCGACCATTTTAATATGTTAAAGTTATTATCATGTTATGAGATGACTAGCAGTTACACTTCATCCTGCGTACTCGTCAGAACTAGCCCCAATTTTACTACAATTTCGATAATTGCCTGCAACGAAATAAAATGTTCTCAGGAAGCGATATAAAATTCATTCACAGACCTTGTAGTGCTCAGATCCCCAGAATTCTAAATAATAGACTAATAATTCCTCAACATTGTAGAAATGTCCAGATATTGCGAGTGAATATTACAATTAAATAAATATATTTTATCTTGGAAAAAAGGAGATTGATTTTTTTATTATGTAACAGCAATTTCATACCACAGTTTTGTCATATGGATTGTATGTGTATGTATATATGTGATACATTCTTAACTATTTGTTTCTCTTCCTTTTCATTGAAATCTACACGTGCCAAAATTTTTATTCCTCTTACAGAGTTGAATGGAGAACACCACAAAGCATTAAGTCTGAGCATTTAAAAGGTGATAACAATAAAGAGTTTTTAGCTACCGTCGCTTTTTATGTTACCAGATTAAATAAATAAAATAAATAAATAAATAAGGGTTCCTTATTTGAGGGTTTAATCAACTACTTTAACCAAAATGTTTGTGCAAGTGAGAGAGGAGAGAAGGAATATGATCAACGACGATCCAGCTTGTCAAGGAGGACCTCATTATGATCAAGATAAAACATATCGGCGTAATCACATTTGGTCAAAATAACGGATTGCATCAGAATTATCTTTACCTTAACCGGAACAAAGTTTTTAAAGCGACTGCAAGCACTCAGCAATGACTGAAGCACTGGTTTGTGTGGTCCCACTTAAGGTGAATCAAAGTAAACATTACATTACACAAGGTTAGGAGCTTGTTAGATCTCAAATAAAAATATAACAATCTATGTAAGGAGAGTAGGAAATGATAGAATCATTAAACCTGACACGTGATACACACATTGTTATACAAGAACATTAATCAAGTAAAACACTATTTAACGTGCCTAACCAGAAAAAAGTGACCATTGATATTATATAAATATCTATGTATACTGCAAAGAGCATCTTTGTATATAATTACTCGTTCTTTAAATATATTGTTTGAATGTTCTCGTTAATTAGGCTGCACTAATGTTATTAAAGAAAGAAAATGTGGGTAAATGTTCGTTTGTTCCAAATCTTAAATCTCTGTAAGTTCTTCACTGATTGATTTGAAATTAACTGATGTATTCGAATACGCTCGTGTTTCAATATACTTTTTGAAAAACTATTTCTATAGCAACGCGTGGACAAGTACAGTTAATACATATTAGTAAATATTAAACTGACTATTACGGGCGGGACTACACTACATACAAGACTTAATGGAAGAGGTGTATTGAAGAAAGCCCAAATTATTTTATAGATTCGACCAGTAATCGTAATTTCGGCAATAATCAGCTACATTAATATGATAAATATTTGAAAATCAAACACAGCGTGTGTTCTGTGTATAGTGTGGCCGTGGAAGGAAAAGGGGAGATCTCCCGACGGGCAAGGTGTTCTGCCCGGGGAGCGGCCGACACTCCGTCTGATAGTTCGGAGATGTTCTATATATACTGTTTATGATTCGGAATTTTGATAGCGTGATTTAGGCTTCGGTGTGTTTCGCTTGTGGCGCTACGACAGCGCCGCCACATCACTCCCTGCTCAGACCAGAGGTCGATAATACATTCCGATTGCCGGTGCGTCCTTAATGCCGGTGGGGAATGCATGCTGTGTGCGTAAGGGCAAGTGACACCGGTGCGAATGATATGCCGATGTGTAATGCATGCCGTACTACGCACTAGCAAGTGATGCCGGTGAGAACAATGTGCCGGAGCAAGTGCCAGAAATTTGCCTTATAAATCTGCGGTGAGTCGAGATGAAGACAAGTTGGACTGGCTTGCAGGAACTGAAGACTGCAGAAGACGATTCTCAGTAGTGAATGGTAGAGGTTCTTGAGGATAATGACGAAGGCTTGAAGTTGTAGTTTCCGAAGGTGTT